GCAACAACAACAACAGCAACAACGCCGCCGCCACCACCAACAATGACAACAATACCAACACCACAAACACCTCCAAGACAAACACCGGCAGCAACAGCAACGGCGACGGCGACGGCGACAGCAACGACAGCCGCAATCGCGACAAGACGCAACGCAACGCAACGCGCGGCAACAGAAGACAAGAGAAGACAAGAGAAGACAAGACAACGCAACAAGCAACGCACGACGCAGCGCGCGACACACAACAACAACAACAACAACCAACAACAACCAACAACAACCAACAACAACAACAGCGACAACAGCGACACCTACAACGACAACGGCAACAGCAACAACGACAGCGACAACAGCGACACCCGCAACGACAACGGCAACGGCAACAACGACAACAGCAACAACGACATCGACAAGGGCACCAACAACACCAACTTGGTAAGCGTGGGTGCGTCGCGGAGCATGTTTTTCTTGACGCCTAACGCACGTAAAAGGCTTGCCGCGCGAGATGCAGATGCTTGGCCCCCATTGAGCGTAACAGGCTTCGCTGGCCACGCGAACAGGCGTGCTCACTCGGCGCAGAACCGCCTTGTTCAAGGTTCTGCTGGCGCGCCTGCGCGCTCAAAACGATGCTTCTCGAGCTCCAACATTCGCGAAAGGTTGTACCTGCCCACCAAACTCACTCCGTGAGCGCGCTGAGACGCTCGTTTAGGCGACCAGCGCCAACAACCGCAACCGAACAGATAGCGAACAACAAATAACAAACCGTAAGCCGCAGAAGACGAACCACAAACCGCATGCCAACACAAGAAACAACACACAACAAACAACAAGCGAAAAGCTTTACGCAATGAGAAACAGACTAAAAACCTCAAGCGACATGAAACAAACGGCAAACAATAAACAACGCGCAACACACAACACGCAGCACAGAACAAACAAAAACTAGTGAACAGCGAACAGCGAGCAGCAAACAGCGAACGGCGAACAGCGATCTGCAGAAAGCAAGCAGCAAACTGCAAGCAGTAAACAGCAGGCAGCAAACCGCCAACAGCAAACAGCAAGCAACAAACAGCAAACAGCAAGCCACAAACTGCAAACTGTCAAAAGCAAACACCAGCAACAAACAACAAGCGACAAACAACATGCGGCAAACAGCACGCAACACGCAGACGCGCAAAACACAAGG